CCTTCCACCAATAGGAGTGCAACACACCTTCCTGATGCACCTGACACCCACTATTCGATTCTATTGATATAAGTTTTGGTAGAAAATGGAAGCACCGGTTTTTCAGTGGAGAGAAAGTGGGATATGGTACATTACCTCTTCTCACAGATATAGCTAGAATTGGTGCACGTGAAAGAAAGAAGCATGCTTTAAAAATGTCAGAAGAACACTCAAAATGGGGAGATCCTCGCAGTAGAGGATCCTACATGGAAGACTGCATCACTTCTGTACTAGGTATATTCTATGCCCAGTGGGTGGAAAATTGGTGGAGCATATCCAAAAGGAAGAGAACAATGTTTGGATAGGGATCAAACCACCTGATATCAGAAGCTCAATCCCTTTGAAAACAGTAATGTGGGTGAGAGTAAAAAGGATGTGCCCCAAGGTGTAGAGTGGCAAGGGTGTGAGGGACTGTACACAGCAAGTCAACTGTATCCAAAACCCAGCCACCAGGAACCAACATCCAGGTGGGGGAAGGAAAGAGGACCATACCGTTAGCAAGTCAACTACGATCCAAAACCCAGCCACTGGGAAACGACCTCCATGTGTGGGTAGGAAAGAGGATCACACCATTCAGCAGACCAGAGGGAGATATCATACACACTGATCTGTGAACAGGGCACATGATAACAAAGTGATAAAATATTTTACCAATCTGGAACCTGACAACTGGATGATCAGAATGAGAAAGATGTCCTTGTAATGTGAAATATCTTACTCAAAACCAATCAGACAGGAATGATCCCAGTGCTGTAACATTCTCAGTATATGAAAATCTTATACATAGGTATAGTGCAAGAGGAAGAACTGTAGTAACAAGCATGTTCATCCACTATGACCAACAACACGGTAGCAGTGAACATGAGGGAACACATATGTGAGGACTTATGTCGATTGGTCCATCTCTAATTCCAAAACACAGCTACTGGGAACCACATCCATGTGGGAGTAGGATGAGGGATCCCAATCG